CTAAGAATTTATTTTTACATTTTTAAAGAGTTTAGGAAGAAAGAAAGAGCAACAGAGAAAATTTATGTAGCCTGTAAAGCCTGAAATTTTTATCATCTGGCCATTTGTAGACAAAGCTTGCGGACCCTTGGCTTAATATATTTCTGCTTTCAAGTACATATGCAAGGCTTAATATATTTAATCTTTCAAGTAAATATGCAATTTTCACCATAGTATAAATATCAAAACATAAATATTTAAACGTAGAACTCAAGGTATACCATGACTAGAAAGTGAGATAACTTTGGAGAAAAAAAATTGGGGGAAAATAAAATTTCTTTTATCTTCTAAATATTTGCTCCCTTGTCTGGTGAGATACATTTTTCTACCAATAGGACTCAGAATCACTTCATACTAATTGTTTGAAGGCATAAGACTGTAAGGTCAAACAATCCAAAAGATACTTAAACATGAGACTGAATGGACTCTCAAAGGACGATTTTGTTTCTCTTGGCTAACTCTGTCCTGCTGATGTTGGCAATCCAACTAATTTCCACAGAAATCCAGGATCATATCAGGTATGGAATTATCAAATTTGCCCAGCTAAGTATCCAGGTCTTTGCCATATACCCTTGTGATAATGAGTATGGGAGTAGGAAAGCTGACTCAGAAAAAGCTGCCAAAAGCAGAATCTGCCAAAAGCAGTTAGCATAATGGCTGTCGCTGAACTCCCATGTAGTCGACCGCAGTATGAGTCCTGGACCCGGTGGCTTAAACTCATGCCGGGCGCATGTGCATACGTGCCCAAGATCCCAAGAAAAGAATGGAGGAGAAGGGACTGAGGCATGGCCATCCCCCCTGGGGGGTGATTTCTCGCTTTCTGTCTCTCTCTGTCTTTCTGATGAGTACGAGCCTTAAGCAAAAACCTCTCCAAAAAAAGAAAGAAAGAAAGAAAGAAAGAAAGAAAGAAAGAAAGAAAGAAAGAAAGAAAGAAAGAAATCTAAGGTTGTTGAAAAGCAATTGTTTGAAAAGGGAGGGAAGTTAAGTTAGCTTTTTTTGCTTGTTTGCAAATAGAGTATTAAATTACCCAAGACTCTGAATGACTTCACTGCTTCATCAGCCTTGGGCAACATACAGACGGTTTCTTTACTTTCATATGCAAACAAAACACAAGACAAAAAGAATAGGAGAAGGGAGTTTTCAGTAAGGACCTGTTGTTCTTCTGAGGGCCCTCAAGTTAGACTCCTCCTGAGGAAGCTGATGAGTCTGTCTGTGAAGTCGTTGTGGGAGTGGTGGATGCATTTGTCTATGGGACCCATGAGTCTGTGGGTGTTGTTATATCAACTGAGAAGAAGTGAGGAGAAGGGAAGGACACTTCCTTTTTAACTTTAACTGGGCCTTCTGAGATTCAAAAATGAGTGGTCAACTGAGGGTTTATGGTTTGCCAGAGCCTATTTACATGAAGAAGGAGGGACACTGGAGGCAGAGTACTCATGCAAACACATTTGGCCCAGTTTTTTTTTTTTAAATGCTTTATTATAAGAGGGCAAAAGTATTGATATTTCTGTGTCTTATACAGTGCAAGTTCTATATTTGGACTAGACTTTTGACCCAGCTCCTGAATGTCTACATCCGAGTGTGTGTGTAGGGGGGAGGGCTCTAGAATCTGTGCTTTTCCTCTGCAACAGACCATTGGATAAAACAAACCAAAAGGGTGGAGGAATACCCTGATTGCACTAATACATACTTGGTAGCTTTTCTTTTCCCAAGTAAGGTCATTCAAATATCACCATCATTTTAGAAAAGAAAGAGATGTATAAAAGATACATAACAATACAAATTTGAAATAAAAATTTAATTAATTTAGCCTTCACAACCCCCCCCCCCCA